ATTTCAGAAAGCAAAATGTTAAATACTTTTAAATATTAAAATTGACTTTATAAAAAATTAGAAAAAAAATTAATCAAAAAGAGTTCAAAAATGTATTATAATATTTTCAGTTTTAGTTTAATTATATTTTTCATTCTCAAAGTAGAAAAATATATTGTAATTATTTTAATTTAATAAAATATAATTTAAATTTTTAATACTAAAATTAAAAGATTAAATAATAATAAATTTAATTCTTTAAATTTAGTATTTAGAAACTAAAATTATAGTTTCTCTGTTTTAAAAAATTAAAATAAATATTTAAAAATAAAAATCAAAACTATTATTATGTTAAATTTATTAAAAGTATAATTAAATCTCTATTTTCTTCAATTTTTCTTTTTTTAACTTCTCAATTCTGTATTTTTGTCAATTCCATCATTATATTATCATCATCATCTCCTCCCATGTTCTACTTTATGTTTACAATAATTAATATTTTTAAATAATTTATATTTTTATTTATAATTTTTTAATATATATTTGAGAAATTAATCAATTATAATCTATTATTTGAAAAACTAATCAATTCTAATCAATTATTTAGAAAACTAATCGATTATAATTAATTATTTGAAAAAATTATCCAATATGATCGGTTATTTGAAAATTTAATCGATCATAATGGTTGTATATGATAGCGGTTCCACTTGAACCGCTCTTAAAATAGAACATCTAATAGTGGTTAAACCTTAACCGCTATCTAAAATATAGTTTAGATAGCGGTTAACGTGGAACCGCTTATCTAAAATATAGTTTACATTAACTATTTTTTTGAATATTATGTTTTTAAATTTGGTAATACAGAAAATGTTTCAGAAAGCAAAATGTTAAATACTTTTAAATATTAAAATTGACTTTGTAAAAAATTATTCAAAAAAATTATTCAGAAAGAGTTCAAAAATGTATTATAATATTTTCAGTTTTAGTTTAATTATATTTTTCATTCTCAAAGTAGAAAAATACATTGTAATTATTTTAATTTAATAAAATATAATTTAAATTTTTAATACTAAAATTAAAAGATTAAATAATAATAATAATTTAATTCTTTAAATTTAGTATTTAGAAACTAAAATTATAGTTTCTCTGTTTTAAAAAATTAAAATAAATATTTAAAAATAAAAATCAAAACTAGTATTATCTTAAATTTATTAAAAGTGTAATTAAATCTCTATTTTCTTAATTTTTTTTGTTTTAAACTTCTCAATTCTACATTTTTGTAAATTCTATCATTATATTATCATTCTCATCTCCTCCCATGTTCTACTTTATCTTTACAATAGTTAATATTCTTAAATAATTTATATTTTTATTTATAATTTTTTAATATATATTTGAGAAATTAATCAATTATAATCTATTATTTGATAAACTAATCAATTCTAATCAATTATTTAGAAAAGTAATCGATTATAATTAATTATTTGAAAAAATTATCAAATATGATCGATCATTTGAAAATTTAATCGATCATAATAAAAAAATGTGGTTGTATATGATAGCGGTTCCACTTGAACCGCTCTTACAAGTGAACTTCTAATAGCGGTTAAACCTTAACCGCTATCTAAAATATATTTTAGATAGCGGTTATCGTGGAACCGCTATTATATATTTTCAAATATGATCGATCATTTCAAAATATAATCGATCATAATGAAAACTTACATTAACTATTTTTTTGAATATTATGTTTTTAAATTTGTTATTAGAGAAAACGTTTCAGAATTCAAAATGTTAAATACTTTTAAATATTAAAATTAACTTTATCAAAAATTAGGAAAAAAATTAATCCAAAAGAGTTCAAAAATGTATTATAATATTGTCAATTTTGAGTTTAATTATATTTTTCATTCTCAAAGTAGAAAAATATATTGTAATTATTTTAATTTAATAAAATATAATTTAAATTTTTAATACTAAAATTAAAAGATTAAATAATAATAAATTTAATTCTTTAAATTTAGTATTTAGAAACTAAAATTATAGTATCTCTGTTTTAAAAAATTAAAATAAATATTTAAAAATAAAAATAAAAACTAGTATTATCTTAAATTTATTAAAACTATAATTAAATCTCTATTTTCTTAAATTTTTCTTTTTAAAACTTCTCAATTCTACATTTTTATAAATTCTATCATTATATTATCATCCTCATCTCCTCCCATGTTCTACTTTATCTTTACAATAGTTAATATTCTTAAATAATTTATATTTATATTTATAATTTTTTAATATATATTTGAGAAATTAATCAATTATAATCTATTATTTGAAAAACTAATCAATTCTAATCAATTATTTAGAAAACTAATCGATTATAATTAATTATTTGAAAAAATTATCGAATATAATCGATTAATTGAAATTTAATCGATCATAATAAAAAAATGTGGTTGTATATGATAGCGGTTCCATTGAACCGCTCTTAAAAGTGAACATCTAATAGCGGTTCACTTGAAACCGCTATTATATGTTCACTTTTAAGAGCGGTGAAAATATTAACTATTCTTAAAAGTGACAAATATTTTATTTATTTATTTACACATTTTTGCATCAGATATCGCTCGAGCAAGACCAGTGTCGCTCAAGCGAAATACAACCCGAGAATGCCAATTTTGTGTAGGTGGCGTCGTTCGAGCGATGTTATTTTCGCTTGAGCGAATGTTGACTCACGAAATACGCACTCAAGATCTTTCTCGCTTGTGTTCATCTTAGTCTACAATTTTCATGAATTTATTGCTGAATATTTGGTTCGTTAGTCGTTTAATTTGTAAATAGTTTGTTATGAAAGTGGTGTTGAAAGTGTTTTTCCACTTGTTGGGTTACAATATACAAATCTGGTCAAGCAATAGTTTAATTAAATAATATATTTATTATCTAATGTATATTGATATAAAATTTTTTTTGGTATATCAATTATATGACAACAACCATGATTAAGTAATTAATAATAATAAAGCAATAAATTTAAAAATTAGATTAAAAATAAAGTATTATAAAATAAAATTGTAATAATTTGATTAAAATTGTATTTTTTTAATTAATTAAGTTAATGAGGAATTAAAATATGATAATTTGATGTGTTTAATTTTTTTAATATAAATTTTGAAAATATAATTTAATTTCAATTGAAATTTTCAATTGAAAAATAAATTCAAGAATATTTGTTATTAAACTTTTCTTAAACAATGTATTGAATAGTTAACATCACTCTAGTCTTAATTTATTACAATTTAAATTTTTAATAAATTTGATTTATTACAATTCATTTTGTTAATATTGAGACCAAAGTTTATTTTTAAAGTATATTTTAAAAATTAAATTATTTTTAAAAATAAATTACTTTAAAAAATAAATTGTAAAAAATATACTAAAATAATTAAAGTATATTTATAAAAAAATAAATTTAAATATAATAAAAAAATAATATTCATTAGCTGACCGATTTTAATTCTGGCCACTATTTCAATTTGTAATTCGATCGCTAAATCGATCGCTAAATGATTTTTTTATTTTAGTATGAAATAACTATCGATTTAACGATCGAAATTTTGCGATGCAAAATATTGGTCGCTATTTCGGTACGCTAAATAAAAAAGTGAAAACCAAATCATATTTTGGTCGTTAAATCAATCGTTAATCGTGACTCGAATTAAAGTGGTCACTTGGATCGGTCAGCTAATTGCGACCGAATTAAAGCTGGTCGCTAAATCGGTCGCTAATTTCGATGACTAAATGTGTTTTTTCTTGTAGTGTTAGTTGTGAACATCATTTTCAATATTGAGATTTGTTGACTTTGTTTGTTTGTCATTTTTGTTGGTTTTGAGATGAATGATCACCACTGCATTCTGTTAGTTCCAAAATCAGTAACGTATGATTCTTTATAATTTTGCATAACAGCAAATGCTATGAGCCCTACAGTGACCTGGTCTACTTCACCAGTTATATATATATATATATATATATATATATATATATATATATATATATATATATATATATATATATATATATATATATATATATATATATATATATATATATATATATATATATATATATCCATTTAATTCAATCTTACAAAATTATCATAATAATATTCTTATAGATAATTTTCCTATCATTGCATTTAATATTAATTCGATAATTAGTAATTTAATTGATTATTATTAATTATTAATATCCTAATATTTTTAAAATGAACTCTAATATTATATTAAAAATTGTGAAAAATTTAATTAATTTCTTTTTAATACTTTTAGAGTAAACTTTAATATTATATTAAAAATTATAAATAACTTAATTAAAAAAAAATTTCTAAATAAAATAATAATTACACTTATTTATATACTATAATGTTATCTCAATCATAATTAACTAAATCATAATAAATTTAATATTTTTTATTTATTTTAAATAATAATAAAAATGACTTAATATCTATAATAAAGACAATATTTCCATTTCAAATTGATAACCATTTAGAGATTCCTTACCACCCTTTATCGAAATGCAAGAAATGTTCAACGTAAATGAATTGATGTATCATGAAAAGCAAACAACTTTAAGGTCAAAGATTTATTTTCTTGATGTTGTGGTAGTTTTGGGATCAGGGATTCGGACAAGTTTTCGGGACATGCATAAGATTTTCATCCCCTCATGAATCTTTCTAGGGTTTATCGGGCTAATTTTATTCAATAATTTGTGTAATAATAGTTAAACAGAATCTTGTCTTTCCATTTTTTTTTCCTTTGATATATATTTATATAAATGATTTTTATATAAAAATACACTTTTAAATTTTATTATATTTGACGTGTTTCGCACTCCAAAATACATAAATAAGTAAGTGAAGTTCCGCCAGTGGAAATATCAATTGCACAAAAAAGTTAAAAGGGTGGGAGCTATAGAGATTGGAAATTGTGAAGCAGTAACTAATCTTGAAGTTAATCTTCCTCATGGAATTTTGTAGGAAGAAATCGTGGTTGGTGTTGGTGGGAGCAATAATAGTTTGGGGTCATGTGCTAGGCACAAATGGTTGTTTCCAGCAAGAGAAGAGTGCACTGTTAGATTTCAAAGCTAGTTATGCGAATGAGTCATATCTGCTACCTTCGTGGATGAATGAGCCAAAGAGTAATTGTTGTGTCTGGGAAAGAGTCACATGTGATTCCTCTTCAGGGCACATCATTCATCTTTCTCTTGGGAATCTTCGTACAGTTGGTGAAATTGAAATGGTTCCATTCGGATATCCATACGGTGAAATGGGACCGTATTCGCAAGGAATTCGACCATACTGTTTCAACCCCACACGTAGCTTAAACTGGTCCTTGTTCCTGCCCTTGAGGGAATTGAGAAGTCTTGGCTTGTCCAATTATTGTTTTCTGAGATTCATTTGGAAAAAAGGTAATAATCAGACCTAATCTTCTGTGCTTATTTACTTCTATACTCTTTCTTTTCAGTACTTGCGTAGATTTCTTTAACCATGCTTCAAAGAGTATTTGCCATAGAAATGATTGAGAAGGTGTAATAACTATTCATCCTCTTTAATAATGTAGAGAAAAACCAGTGGCTGTCTAAAAAGTAGGGTTCTAATAAGAATTTTTTCAGTGGGTTAACATCCATTTATCAGTTTAACAAAAAAAAAAAAGTAAAAATATATGAAATAAAAAATATGATCCTCCAAAATCTTTATTCATATTTTTACTATCTTTTACTTTATTTAATTTTATTAACTCTTCCATTCTAATCCTCTTTCTAATATGATTTCATAAATACTTGACAACATCTTGAATCCTCTTCTTCTAATATGATTTCATAAATACTTGACAACATCTTGATTATTATTCTTCAAATTTTACTACGTCTAGTAATATTTATGATTCTACCCTCTTTAAATTTAATAATTATTAAATATATATGTTTATATATTTACAAATTTTATTTCTTATTTTTTTCATATTCTTTTATTTTTTCACATTTATTTATTATTTATTAATGATATATTATTAGTCTTAACCAAACTTCATACAAGTTTCTATCTATTATTACCTAAAAATAATCAAATTATTGATGTGAACCTAAAAATAACCCCTCACTTAAAATGATAGAAGGTCCATTCATATCAAACAATTCCATATTATACTTCAAATTTACATATTCTCCTTTTTTTCTCTGACTTGAAATCCTATTGGTGAATATAAGTGTGAGATTCATTGATTTCAACTAATTTTATATTACATTTAACTAAATATAATATATTATTTTTTAAAATTAAAATTTAAATACGCATTATATAAGAATCGGTCAAATTATAAAACCATAAATATCAAACTACTTAATCATTTTTCTTCTTTTTTGCAAAATGTTCTATCTTCTACTGAAAGACCAGCTTGTTGTCGTCTATGTGGAGAGAAATATTGTTGTATAGTTTTGTTTCAAAATAGACATGGAATATAAAAAGATTTAGATGTTTTCTCTTTTAAATATAGTCTTCTTTTTTATTTAAAAAAATTGTTTAATTTTTGGATTCGGTAATACTTTATTATGATTATTGTGATTTTGTTTTTGTAACTTTTTTTATTATTTTAGGTCATACAGTATGTTGATTATTTTCTTTTACTCCCTATCAATTTTTTCTTAAAATTTTAATTCAAATAAAAATTATTTGTTATGTGAACTAAACACAAAAAAAGTAGGTATATTAAAAAGACTAAAAATAAAAGTAATAAGAATTAAAGAAAAAAATATTACGAGCACAAAAAAATGAAGAAAAATTGTTAAGTGATAAAAAATATGATATAATTATACTTGAAGAATTAAAAATATATTTAAAACAACTATTATTGTATAGTTGGTTTAGAGGAATACGGTATCAATGAATACATTTGTTAAAACTATAGTTTCCTTTTAAATTGAAAAGCTTTACTTGATTGAAAAAAAATGTTAAAAGTTGCGACCTTGAACGTCTCTTTCATATCTTATATGCTCCATCAACTATATATATGGTTGTCGATGTTTGAGACGGAACACATCACACTAAGAGTTTATCTAAACCATTGCGTGTGACTGAGGGTGAGAGTGAAGGAGTTAAGACTAGTGTGTGTGTGAAAAAAAAAATCTTGTTAAAAATTAAGCTACTTTTAATATTTTTCAAAATATGTATTTAACTCAACCTTTTAATTTAATGTTACTTTTATAATTTTTTATCCAATTTTTGTTATAATATTTCATATTTTTACTCTTGTGCCCGTTGCAACTTCTATAATGTTTGTTTGAAAAAAGGTATGAGAATGAGTTAATTAAAACAAATTTTGTTTTTAAATATAACAGCGTTTTATATACTTTGTTGTTCATGAATGGTTATAGTGAATGATGAAGTATATATCTTTCAGCTGATAGCAGGTCAACGTTGAAGAAGTTAGAGACATTGGATCTGAGTTTCAATTATCTGAACGAGAGCATCGTGGAATTTCTGGGTTCTCATTCTTCTATCAAGAGCTTAAATCTTTCTGGTAATTTTATTGGTGGGCCATTTATGAAAGGTATGAATGCAACAATGTAAGTAACTTTATGTTTCACACATGAATATTTATGCACGTTCTCATATACTTTATTTTTTCTGGGAAGAATTATCACTTCTACCGAACTTGGAAGTGCTGGATTTGAGTATGAATCATGTTGGCAATGGCAGTTTCCTTGCAACTCAAGGTACATGCTGATTTTGGTAGTGCGAACCATTCGTTAAAAGACATGAACACACATGAGAAAACATGGCTTCTTCATCATATATATAATAGACCACACTGTCAAAACATATAATTTAATAAACATATTAAGCGTGATTAGATGCAATAACGATTATTTTGATTATACCCGTCACTACATGTTTATATACGGTGATGATTAATTACTAATTATTATAAATAATATATTTCTTTATAAATAATCATAGTATAAATAATATACTAATTAAGACTATATTTATTACATGATTACTTCATTATAAAACAGTTATCAGTGACAGATCTATAAGTTAGCCAAGTAATTTATTTTTTAAATAATACAAATTAATAATAATTAACATCAAGTTAAATGATTTTTAATTAGACACACATTTATAATCCTATTTTTTCATTTCGGTCATTCAATGCATTAATTACATTTTCCGATTATAAGTGGGTGTGGAGAGTAGTTAATGAAATTGAAAAGAATTGTTTAAAAAACAATAATTTAAAAATAATATAATTTATTATATATTTCATATATTATATTTGGGATTTCATCGATCATTGAAGTGAATTTTGAAGGGATCTTTCAGAGTATGAAGGCAAGTCAACGTTGGAAAAGTTGGTGACATTAGATCTGAGTTTCAATTATCTAAACGAGAGCATAATGAAACTGGTGGGTACTCTCCCGTCCATCAAGAATTTATCCCTTGCTGCTAACTTTATAGGGGGGCCCATTCCTATAAAAGGTATGAAACTATGAATGATGCAATAAATTAAATGTTTCCCATTTTGGAGATTTCTAGACATTCTCATTTGCTTTCTTTTTCTTCCAAGAATTATCACTTTTACCAAACTTGAAAGCACTGGATTTGAGTGGAAATCGTCTTGTTAGCCAGATTCCCACCCAAGGTATGTACGTGTGAGGGTGAGCGGGAGTTGCTTCTTTTTTTTGTTGTTGTTGAAAATTATAAAATATAAATTTGATTTTTCTCTATCATTATTAAGACATTTTTATAATTTTATTTCAATAACAAATTTTTTCTCGATATTAAGTAATTTATTATTTTATAATATTTTTTTTTTCTAAGTTAACTTTTTTTCTTTCTTTCTTTTTATTTTATTTTATTTTATTTTCACTGTTTTATTGTTGGTGCAACCGTTCTCTCCTTTCACCTTCCTCTTCTCCCCTCCAACGCATCACTTTTTCCCAACCCTCTTTTCCCCTTTTCCATTCTCTTTCCTCCTTCTCCCATTCACCTTCCTCCAATCGTTCTTCTCCTCTCGTCCATCCCTTTCTCTTTCCCCTTTTTCCTTTATGCAACATTTCTTTCTTTTTCCCACTATTCATTAAAATAATAATTTTTTTATGCTTAACTCTATCAAATTTTAAACAATATTTGTTTTGATATTATCTTATTTTTATGGTGGAAAAAAGGTTTTGGATAAAATATGTAAAGAAGAAAAATAATTTCCAATCATGCAATTTCACGATTAACTTCACTTTTCTAAATTCGAGTTAATTTCTTCTTTGTTTATTAGTTATGCTATCAAAATTTAGGTAACGATATCTCAAATGTTATAACTGATTCACATAAAAAATTGTAGTTACAAAACATATAATTCAATATTGACATATCAACTCTAAAGGTCCTATTTTTTTCTCAAAAACACCTTCAGAATTGGTATTCCATTTTTATCAAGAATTCTCAATATTTGCTCTTTTGATCTCTAATCGATTAAATGCTTTTTTTTAAGAGTTGATTGATACTCAATAGGCTATGCGCATAGAGCACATTATTGCAAAATTTTCATATATTTTTTAAAATAAAATCTTTCCTTTTCCTTCACAGTTTAAGGTAGAATTATCTTCAAACATTACCTTAATTTTAATCTTTCCATCCAATTCGATAAATCAACTATTCTGAAATGATATATAATTGAAACAACTTGTATCCAAATACGAAGATTCACACTACAAGAAAAAACACATTTAGCCACCGAAATTAGCGATCGAATTTTTCTCGTCGCAATTAGCGACCACTTTAATTCGGTCGCAATTAGTGACCGATTCAGCTGACCACTTTAATTCGGTCGCAATTAGCGACCGATTTAGCGACCAAAATATGATTTGGTTTTCACTTTTTTATTTAGCGATCGAAATAGCGACCAATATTTTGCGTCGCAAAATTTCGATTGCTAAATCTATGGTTATTTCATACTAAAATAAAAAAATCATTTAGCGATCGAATTACAAATTGAAATAGTGACCGAATTAAAATCGATCGCTAATGAATATTATTTTTTTATTATATTTAAATTTATTTTTTTTATAAATATACTTTAATTGTTTTAGTATATTTTTTACAATTTATTTTTTAAAAGTAATTTATTTTTAAAAATAATTTAATTTTTAAAATATACTTTAAAAATAAACTTTGGTCTCAATATTAACAAAATGAATTGTAATAAATCAAATTTATTAAAAATTTAAATTTTAATAAATTAAGACTAGAGTGATGTTAACTATTCAATACATTGTTTAAGAAAAGTTTAATAACAAATATTCTTGAATTTATTTTTCAATTGAAAATTTCAATTGAAATTAAATTATATTTTAAAAATTTATATTAAAAAAATTAAACACATCAAATTATCACATTTTAATTCCTCATTAACTTAATTAATTAAAAAAAATACAATTTTAATCAAATTATTACAATTTTATTTTATAATACTTTATTTTTAATCTAATTTTTAAATTTATTGCTTTATTATTATTAATTACTTAATCATGGTTGTTGTCATATAATTGATATACCAAAAAAATTTATATCAATATACATAGATAATAAATATATTATTTAATTAAACTATTGTTGATCGATTTGTATATTGTAACCCAACAAGTGGAAAAACACTTTCAACACCACTTTCATAACAAACTATTTACAAATTAAACAACTAACGAACCAATTATTTAGCAATAAATTCATGAAAATTGTAGACTAAGATGAACACAAGCGTGAAAGATACTCGGTCCGTATTTCGCAGTCAACATTTGCTCAAGCGAAAATAACATCGCTCGAGCGACGCCACCTACACAAAATTGGCATTCTCGGGTTGTATTTCGCTTGAGTGACACTGGTCTCGCTCGAGCGATATCTGATGCAAAAATGTGTCAATAAATAAATAAAATATTTGTCACTTTTAAGAGCAGTTAATATTTTCACCGCTCTTAAAAGTGAACATATAATAGCGGTTCCAAGTGAACCGCTATCTAAAATATAGTTAGATAGCGGTTAAGGTTTAACCGCTATTAGATGTTCATTTTTAGGAGCGTGCTCAATGGAACCGCTATCATATACAACCACATTTTTTGATTATGATCGATCAAATTTTCAAATAATCGATTATATTCGATAATTTTTTCAAATAATTAATTATAATCGATTAGTTTTCTAAATAATTGATTAGAATTGATTAGTTTTTCAAATAATAGATTATAATTGATTAATTTCTCAAATATATATTAAAAAATTATAAATAAAAATATAAATTATTTAAGAATATTAACTATTGTAAAGATAAAGTAGAACATGGGAGGAGATGAGGATGATAATATAATGATAGAATTTACAAAAATGTAGAATTGAGAAGTTTTAAAAAGAAAAATTTAAGAAAATAGAGATTTAATTATACTTTTAATAAATTTAAGATAATACTAGTTTTGATTTTTATTTTTAAATATTTATTTTAATTTTTTAAAACAGAGAAACTATAATTTTAGTTTCTAAATACTAAATTTAAAGAATTAAATTTATTATTATTTAATCTTTTAATTTTAGTATTAAAAATTTAAATTATATTTTATTATATTAAAATAATTACAATATATTTTTCTACTTTGAGAATGAAAAATATAATTAAACTCAAAATTGACAATATTATAATACATTTTTGAACTCTTTTGGATTAATTTTTTTTCCTAATTTTTGATAAAGTTAATTTTAATATTTAAAAGTATTTAACATTTTGAATTCTCAAACGCTTTCTCTAATAACAAATTTAAAAACATAATATTCAAAAAAATAGTTAATGTAAGTTTTCATTATGATCGATTATATTTTGAAATGATCGATCATATTTGAAAATATATAATAGCGGTTTCACGATAACCGCTATCTAAAATACATTTTAGATAGCGGTTAAGGTTTAACCGCTATTAGAAGTTCACTTGTAAGAGTGGTTCCAGTGGAACCGCTATCATATACAACCATATTTTTTTATTATGATCGATTAAATTTTCAAATGATCGATCATATTTGATAATTTTTTCAAATAATTAATTATAATCGATTACTTTTCTAAATAATTGATTAGTTTGTCAAATAATAGATTATAATTGATTAATTTCTCAAATATATATTAAAAAATTATAAATAAAAATATAAATTATTTAAGAATATTAACTATTGTAAAGATAAAGTAGAACATGGGAGGAGATGAGGATGATAATATAATGATAGAATTTACAAAGATATAGAATTGAGAAGTTTAAAACAAAAAAAATTAAGAAAATAGAGATTTAATTATACTTTTAATAAATTTAAGATAATACTAGTTTTGATTTTTATTTTTAAATATTTATTTTAATTTTTTAAAACAGAGAAACTATAATTTTAGTTTCTAAATACTAAATTTAAAGAATTAAATTTATTATTATTTAATCTTTTAATTTTAGTATTAAAAATTTAAATTATATTTTATTAAATTAAAATAATTAAAATATATTTTTCTACTTTGAGAATGAAAAATATAATTAAACTAAAACTGAAAATATTATAATACCTTTTTGAATAATTTTTTTTCCTAATTTTTTACAAAGTCAATTTTAATATTTAAAAGTATTTAACATTTTGCTTTCTCAAACATTTTCTCGTATTACCAAATTTAAAAACATAATATTGAAAAAAATAGTTAATGTAAACTATATTTTAGATAGCGGTTCCACGTTAACCGCTATCTAAACTATATTTTAGATAGCTGTTAAGGTTTAACCGCTATTAAATGTTCTTTTAAGAGCTGGCTCCAGTGGAACCGCTACATATACAATCATTATGATCGATTAAATTTTCAAATAACCGATCATATTGGATAATTTTTTCAAATAATTAATTATAATCGATTACTTTTCTAAATAATTGATTAGTTTTTCAAATGATAGATTATAATTAATTAATTTCTCAAATATATATTAAAAAATTATAAATAAAAATATTAATTATTTAAGAATATTAATTATTGTAAACATAAAGTAGAACATGAGAGGAGATGAGAATGATAATATAATGATGGAATTGACAAAAATGCAGAATTGAGAAGTTAAAAAAAGAAAAATTGAAGAAAATAGAGATTTAATTATACTTTTAATAAATTTAACATAATAATAGTATTGATTTTTATTTTTAAATATTTATTTTAATTTTTTAAAACAGAGAAACTATAATTTTAGTTTCTAAATACTAAATTTAAAGAATTAAATTTATTATTATTTAATCTTTTAATTTTAGTATTAAAAATTTAAATTATATTTTATTAAATTAAAATAATTATAATATATTTTTCTACTTTGAGAATGAAAAATATAATTAAACTAAAACTGAAAATATTATAATACATTTTTGAACTCTTTTTGATTAATTTTTTTTCCTAATTTTTTATAAAGTCAATTTTAATATTTAAAAGTATTTAACATTTTACTTTCTGAAATATTTTCTGTATTACCAAATTTAAAAACATAATATTCAAAAAAAATAGTTAATATAAACTATATTTTAGATAGCTGTTCCACGTTAACCGCTATTAGATGTTCTGCTTTTAAGAGTGGTTCCTGTGGAACCGCTATCATATACAACCATTATGATCGATTACATTTTCAAATAACCGATCATATTGGATAATTTTTTCAAATAATTAATTATAATCGATTAGTTTTCTAAATAATTGATTAGAATTGATTAGTTTTTCAAATAATAGATTATAATTGATTAGTTTCTCAAATATATATTAAAAAATTTTAAATAAAAATATAAATTATTTAAGAATATTAATTATTGTAAACATAAAGTAGAACATGAGAGGAGATGAGGATGATAATATAATGATGAAATTGACAAAAATGCAGAATTGAGAAGTTAAAAAAAGAAAAATTGAAGAAAATAGACATTTAATTATACTTTTAATAAATTTAACATAATAATAGTTTTGATTTTTATTTTTAAATATTTATTTTAATTTTTTAAAACAGAGAAACTATAATTTTAGATTCTAAATACTAAATTTAAAGAATTTTTGAATTCTTTTTGTTTAATTTTTTTTCCTAATTTTTTATAAAGTCAATTTTAATATTTAAAAGTATTTAACATTTTTCTTTCTGAAACGTTTTCTGTATTACCAAATTTAAAAACATAATATTCAAAAAAATAGTTAATGTAAGTTTTGACGATGATCGATTAAATTTTCAAAATTTTCAAAATAACATATAATACATTTCTATGTGATTTCTGTCAAATTATAGATTGGAAATAAACATTTTTAAAAACTCAAATTATAGATTGGAAATAAATCTATAAAATTTTAAAAATGATGTTATATTTTTAAAAACAAATATTAGAAAAAGGTTTAAAAACATGTATAAATTATATTTATATGTCCAAAATATTAAAGATATCTACATTTAAAAAAATACTAAAAAATATTAAAAGTTATACTTTAAATTAATGAAAATATTTAAAAAAAGTTATATTTATTAAAGTATTAAAAATATTTTGTAATATATAAGTTAAAAAAATTATCATTAAATTTTTTAAAAATTATTAGTTTTGTAATTTATATACAATGAAAATAATATAATGGTATATTAGTATATAAATATATAAATATATAAATATATAAATATGTAAATATATAAATATATCAATATATCAATATATAAATATATCAATATATAAATATATCAATATATAAATATATCAATATTTAAATATATAAATATATAAATATATCAATGTATTAATATTTAAATATATATTAAAATATATAAATATATTTTTATTTATAGATTTTATATTTATATATTTATACTGATATACATTTATTTGTATATAAATATAATTTATTTGTAAGTTATTATTAAAAAATCCTAGTAGCTCAGCTGGTTGGAGTTTCAGCCTTTAACTCTAATGTACTGGTTCGAATCTTGACAATGACAATAAACCTAATAATAAGTTAAATTTCTAAAAAATATAATATAATTAAGAGTTAGGAAAAATAAATATAAATAAAAACTTAAATAAGCAAAAATATAATATAAAAAGAGGTAGGGGAAATAAATAATAAAAATAATTAATTTTGTTATTGATTTAGCGACCGATTTAAATCTATCGCTATTTTTTTAACTTTGTTATTGATTTAGTGACCGATTTAAATCGGTCGCTATTTTTTTAACTTTTTCATTGATTTAGCGACCGATTTAAATCGGTCGCTATTTTTTTGTCTTTGTCACCGATTTAGCAACCAATTTGATATATTAATTTCGGTCGCTATTTTGCGACCGAAATGAAAATCGGTCGCTAACACATGAGCGACTTGGCTTTTTGCGACGACGCATTTCGGTTGCTAATTTCGGTCGCTAACTGATTAGCGATCGATTTTTTGCCATTAGCGACCGATTTTTTCTGTTGCTAAAATATTTTTTTCTTGTAATGTCACTATATGTTTTCTCTAGTTTTGTCATGATCACCATCAACAAAATTCCATCCCAAGAATCTTTCTTTTACACCACATTTGCATATTCTTCTTTATTTTCTGAACCTTTACTCCAGCAATCAGTTGCATACTAGTCATATTTGTTATAATTATAACACTCTACATTGCTTTTATCACCACCAGAACTAGGTTGATCACTTCTCCATTGTAAATTTCTGCCTCTGCCACCTCTTGATTATGAGGAAGTCATGTTGTCTTCCTCTTAAGTTTTTTGAATCTTGACCTCCATTATTTCTGCCTTTGAAACCTCTTCCACGACCTCTTTTGTTGAATTTATCTCAATCACCATCATTCTTCTTATTTTGCTTAGCTAATAATGCTTATTCTAAACTAGATTTGTCACCTACTTTTTTACGCAAACATTGTTCATAAGTCTCCAATGACTTTTGTAATTCTTCTAAGTTCAATAAATTCATATTCTTGAATTCTTCGATCATGAAAAAAATCATATTGAATCTTGCATTGAGGTCCTTAACATCTTCTCGACCACCGCCTGTTCTTTTAAAATTTCACCCCATGATTTCATCAAGTTTGAGAGAAAGAGCAATCTTGTAAAGTATTTTTGAATAGTTTCTTGAGTTCTCACCTGTAACAATTCATACAGACGACGTAAGGTTTAAAGTCACACCGTCTTCAACCTTTCTACTCCTATGTAACTTTGTGACATGATATCTCATACTTCTTTTGTCGTTTTTGTCAACAAAATCTTCTCGAAATTACTTTCATCAATACACTGATGAATATAAAATAAGGTTTTACAATCATATTTCTTTGTATCTTGAAACATAACATGTTGTGCCTTGTTGAAAATCTCTGGTAGCTCATTGTATCCAATCACAATAATATCCAAGACTTCTTGGAATTTAAATATTCCCTTATCTTCACGTACCATCGATCATAACTATTCAAATTTTTGCTATCTAATATTGACATTTTGTTGTGTAACCTATTTCTTATTATCGTCTTTAATTTTTCAAATCTTGTAGCTTTGATATCACTTGTTAGTAGAAAATACGGATAGTAGCTACTCACTACTTTTTTGGTCAAGAAAAAATAACTCATTATCTATTAAATATCTTTTTAAAAGAGAATTCAATTTTTTATTTATTTGGATATTTTTTATTTTATTTTTATATTAAGTAAAATTATTTTTAAAATATATTTTTTTAATTTTTAATAATTTTTTATCATAAAATATAATTTGAATAAAATATTATTTATAAAATACTAATTTTAATAAGTCATAGTATAATGTATAAATTTAAATATTATTATTTTTAAAAAATAAATTTAATTTCATAAATCTAGATAAAAATATATAAATCTATAAATACAAATTTTAAATAATTCTTCAATTTTTCATTAATAATTTGATTTTCATACACAAATGAGTAATTGAAATACTTTTACTCTCTACCCATAAACAAAATTTATTTGTTTTTAAACAGAAATATATAAAATGTGGAGACAGATTAATATCTCTATAGCTTAGAGACACAGGTTACTGAATTTTTGCTAGTTGCAAAAGTCATATGTAATGTAATTAATAGCTATCAATGACGGGATTTAACTAACAGACAATATTTCAGATACCAATTCTAGCGTCGAGTTCTATGTATTTAAGAAGTTGAAGACGCTGAACTTAGCTGACAATATGTTTGATAAGGGAATACTCAAGTCTTTAGATGCTTTCCCCACTCTCAGATCATTGAACATAGGTTATAATCCAATCAAAGGGGATCTTGATGACAAAGGTATGTCTTGCCTACCTAATTGCCCTAACATATTTCATTCTTAGAAGTATAGATTAAGAGTATGATTAATCTAAATATATCTCTTTTATTCTTCTGAAGTTTTGGCTAATCTAAGCAAACTGGAAGTTCTTGAACTAAGTAATGCAGCTATTAATGGATTTTTCCCAAATCAAGGTGAGCAAGTATTTAATATTATCTTATCTGTCATCTATGTGATTTCTTTTTTCTGCTACCAATCTAGTATATCTATACATTATTAGGTACTGTATTATTATTTTATGAGTATAATAATTATGTGTTACCTTATATATCAATCAATAGCAAATCACTCTTAGTATAAATTCAAGGTAGTTGTGGGAAAAAATAAGTAAGTTCATCACATATATCTTTTTGTCATTTTAAATATAATAACTTGTGAATCTAGGTTTATGTAAAATGAAGCAACTTCAGAAGCTAGATCTGTCATTCAATAATCTGAGAGGAAGTTTGGTTCCATGCCTTGGCAATTTGACATCACTTCGCGCTCTGGATTTCTCCTTTAACTACCTAAGTGGGAATTTGACACCTCTCATTGTTCACCTTGCATCTATCGAGTATCTTTCCATTGCATTCAATAAATTTGAGGGTGCATTCTCGTTCAACATTTTGGCCAACCATTCAAAGCTCAAGGCATTGCTAATTGGTGATATGAAAGTGGAAACTGAAAATCCCCCTTGGGTGGCATCATTTCAGTTGGAACAACTGGCAATCAGCTCTTGTGAGTTAAACTTACCTACAAAAATCCCAACTTTCCTTTTAAATCAAACTGGCTTGAGATATCTTGATTTATCAGGAAATTATCTACTTGGTAAGTTTCCCAGCTGGTTGCTCATGAAGAACCCAAATTTAGAAGAGGTGTATTTATTTGATAATTCTTTCAATGGACCTTTTGAACTACCCTTTGATCAAAATCTTCGCATGAATCATATGAAACTGTTGTCCTTATCAAACAACCAATTCCAAGGCAAGCTCCCCAGCAACATTGGATTCTTCTTCCCACATTTAGAATATTTGGATATCTCAAACAATAAGTTTGATGGTGCTATTCCAGCTTCAATTGGAGAGATGTCAAGCTTATTGGGATTGTATCTAGGGAACAATAACTTTTCTGGCAATGTACCTGAGCACATTCTCAACAGATGTTTCTCATTAAAAACATTGATGATGGATAATAACCAGTTCAGTGGAAAACTATCGAGTATGATCAGAAAGCTTAGGCTTACCATCCTAACAGCATCAAGGAACAACATTGAAGGAGCAATATCAGAAGAATGGTGCCAACATGAGTTGATAATGTTAGACATATCTCTCAATAAATTCTCTGGTTCACTACCCGCTTGCTTCAAAACGCCAGCATACTTGTTCCTGCAGGGAAACAACTTTACTGGCACGATACCTGAATTATTCATGCGCAACTACTCTATAGCAACAGCCATTGATTTTAGTGACAACAAATTCACTGGAACAATTCCTGTTAGTGTATATAAGCTTTGGTCTTTAAGGTTTCTTTTATTGGCAGGAAATCACTTGCAAGGCCAAATTTCCAGTCAAATATGTCAACTAAAACTCATCAATATCTTAGACCTTTCGCGAAACAACTTCACTGGGTCAATTCCTGCTTGCTTCAGTAATATGTCGTTTGGAAATTTTATCATTCCCTTTTATATTACTGATAGGGTTAAACCATTTGTCCCTAGACCTGATCTTGCAGAAATACAACTCATAACAAAAAATTTGTATCTTTCCTACAAAAGTGATAGATTTCAATTGATGTCAGAATTAGATTTGTCATGTAACCAATTGACGGGAGAGATTCCAGACCAAATAGGAGATCTACATGGCCTTCGTTCGCTCAACTTATCTCACAACCATCTAAATGGTATGATCCCAGAGAGGTTCCAGAAGCTAGAAAATATAGAGAGCTTAGATCTTTCAAATAACAACCTCAGTGGACAAATCCCTCTTCACTTACAGGACTTGCACTATTTGTCTGTCTTCAATGTTTCCTACAACAATTTATCAGGCAAAGCACTTGATAAGGGACAGTTTTGTACCTTTGATGGGAGTGGCTACAAAGGAAATCCATATCTTACTTGGGTTAGCTGTGACAGAGACAATTCAAAACCGCCACTACAACCTCTATTGCATGAAGAAGAAAAAGAAGAAGAAGAAGACGATTCAGCAATTGATTTCAATTTCTTCTATTGGAGTTTTGCTACATGCTATGTCATGGTACTCGTAGCTTTGGTGACAATTATTTGGATCAACCCTAGTTGGCGGAAAATGTGGTTTTATTTTGTCCAAGTGTGCCTTCATAAATGTTGTGGTCAATTTCTTCATGATGATTCTGCTAGAAAGTTGTGAAATAAACTGCTTTATGTTAGATATGTTTACTTTTAACAAGAAATGGGAGATGACATGGTTATATAAAAGAAGATTGTAGTTTGTTTGGTATTCTAAATTAAGTTCCTCAAATTCTGGTAATGTTTATTGTGAGCTCATAGTTGATTTTATTCAATACATGAACAATATAATTTTTTCCTGTGATAACTTGCCAACCTTTTTGGGAAAAGAACACACTTGCATTGCATATAGTAGCACATTTGTATATTAAGAAAAAGTCATTGTCAAATAATCATAGGCTTTTACCTCTTCTAGAATTATCACAGGATTTATTATTATATGGATTTTATATTTAAAATTGAAAAGTAAATTCCTAATATTTTATAATTGCTAATGACTAAAAAATTAGTTATTATGCCATTTCAAAATTTATCACGTAATACTTTTTAGATATAATATATTAAATTATAATATTTTTAGATAATTTAAATATTTTATAATAAAATATTGATTTATCTATTAAAATAAAGTTTTTATTATTATTTAAAAAATATAATTATTAAATATACATATAGAATTATAATTAATTATTAAATTATATTTTATAAATATTTAATTAAACAAAAAAGATGAGATAAGGTTGACTTATTTCTTAAAATAAGAGATAAATTTGTCATAAATATCAAGATTTAAAAGTAAATAAAACCTGAAGTAATTTTTAAGTATAAAAATGAGTTACCAACTAGAAAAATTAGTAAGAGAGAGAAGGGAATGGGGAGAGGAGAAGAGGGAGGGAGAGCGGGAAAGAAAAAGAAAAAGGCATTGAAAAGAAAGAGAATACCAGAGAGAAAGAGAAATAGAAGAACACAAGGAAAATAATAAAAATATATACATGTCATTAGTGAAATTCTCATGTATCATATGAAATTATTTAGGTAAAATAATTAGATATTTATCATTTATTTTTATAATTATGACTATTGATTAAAGTGTTATAAAAAAATTTATTTATTTTTGTATATTTATTTTGTTCCCAATTATATATTAATTTTATTTTAATTATCTCTAATTACACATATATTAATTCTATTTTGTATTTATTTATTTATCTCTAACTATGCATTAGTCCCCTTTTACTATCCTATTTTATTCATGTATAATTAAACATTGATCGTATTTTATATTTATTTATTTATCTTAAATTACGTACTAGTCTTATTTTGTATTTACACTACTAAAAATTCTCATTTTTCATGGGAATATTTTTGCAAAATTTTGGTAAAAATTGTAAGAAATAAGTTTTCTATAAATTTAAATAATTTTTTGCAAGAAAATTGGCAGAAAAAAACTAGTTTTATAGTAGTGTTATTTATTTATCTCTAGTTATGCACTAGTCATATTTTATATTTATTTATTTGTCTTCAATTACACACTAACTTTATTTCATATTTTTTGTTTATCTCCAATTATGTATTGGTCCTATTTTATATTTATTTATTTATCTCCAATTTCGCAGTGGTCCTCTTTTATATTTTATATTTATTTATCTATCTTCATTTGCACATTGATTCTATTTTATATTTATTTATTTATCTCTAATTATGTATTTATCCTCTTTTATTTTATGTATTTATCTTCAGTTATGTATTAGTCATATTTTATATTTATTTATTTATCTTGAATTACACACGGATCTTTTTTCATATGTATTTATTTATCTTCAGTTATATACCGGTCCCGTTTATTTATTTATTTGTTTATTTATATTATTTACTTTATATCTAGTTATACCGATCATCATTTATTAACTTATATTTATATTATTAATTTTTTTGAAGAACAATATTTTATTTATGAATATTTAATGATATTGGAGTTGAAAGTTGGACCTTAGGGGTTGAAATGAATAAATATCACTAAAAGATAATTAATTTTTGGTTTATTTATCTTGATTAGTCATTACAAAAATCAATTCAAATCTTCATAATATAAAAATAAATGGAAGATGTTCATGAAATTGAAAAATTGATTTTGTATATTATTTTGAGATTATATTATTTTACATGATGTTTGTTCTCACTTCCACATTTCATCTCTTCTGCATGATAAAACTAAAAATATCAACTTAAATAGATGAAGGCACTAAGTTGAACGACAAATATCAATGATAAATAACCACTTTTAAAGGAAAAATGCATATCAATTTTAATATTTGTTTTCGACATGAAAGTAATGCAAACTTGTATATTTCATATATTTATACATATAAATGTATAAACATTTATCTCATGTCTTAATTTTGTCAAGATTTAATAGAAAACAATTACCTAAATATAGTTAAATTAACAACTTAAGAAAAGGATGTCAAGCTTAATGGTATCAGAACAACATTTCATCTAAGACTTATAATTGAGTCCATCATGAGATTTTATGAACACTAACTTGTATAATTCTAGATGATAAATAATATGAGGAATAATTAGTTGATAGAAGTAGTACAAGCTTTTAGAGACATGGTAGTTGCATTATTGATGAACCAAAGACTTGAAGGAACCAATTAATTAATTTAGGAGAAACAAACCTCCACAATTCTTCAGAGGTTGCAACCCAAAAAAGGCTGAATTGTGGATTAAAATTGGAGAAAATATTTCGAGATATGAATTATTCTGACAACCAAAAGGTGAATTACATCGTATTTATGTTAATAGTAGAGACTTGATATTGTTAGAATCGCGCAGCGGAATGTTTGCGTATCCGGACAAAAACCAAGAGGGGGGTGAATTGGTTTCTTAACAAAAATTAGGGTTTTAAAATTTTTCCCAAATTTTACCGATTAAAATGTTGTGTAAACGTAAATAGAGTAAGGATAGAGTCTTACACAGAAGATTTATACTGGTTCGGATCAAAAGACCCTACATCCAGTTGCTAATCACTCAAACAGAGGATTAACGCTGTCACTATAATCAAGTTTTACAAACAGATAACAATTGAAAAGATAAGGTAACGAAAACACCTCTCTTGAGTCACACAAGAGATGAAGAACATCTTTCCCTAGAGACGACACAACACACAATCCACCAAGAAAACCCACTTAGTGATTCTTATCGCTTCTAGCTCACACTAGGTTCCAAAAGCCCCTTTTTCCTCCAACAAACAATTCTCTGGTAGTCACAGCTCTCAACTTTTGTTTAAAAAAGGTTGTTCAATTTGCAGAGAGCCTTAGAGAACCTTAAGTAGACGGATTAGGGTTTGGAAATTGGGGATTTTCGAAACTTGGTGTATTGGGACTAGGGTTTTCGAAACTTGGTCCAATTTTGAAGTTTAAAATGCATATATGACTGAAATAATCGATTATCTTGAGTGTTAATTGATTATTACAGAGCCAAAATCAACAGGAACCCATAACTACGCGTTTTAATCGATTAATTGCCCTGTTAATCAATTAACAGGCCTGTTAATCGATTAACAGGAGTGTTAATCGATTATTCTAGAGAGCTGATACAGAAAATGGTTTTTCTCTCTGTAATAATCGATTATCCTGCCTTTTAATCGATTAAACCAGTGTCTTTTTTATAAAAATGAGTTTTTGAAGCTTCTAAAGAGTAGACTATGTGCTGGCTATCTTATACTCTAATATTACAGACTCAAAATCATCAAAACAGAGTTATTACATTATATTACAAGTCTTGAAGTCTTTAAGACCTTTGTTCTTGAATCATCATCAAAATCTACAGGTTTCATATCCATGTATGTTCAACATTCATATCCTTATATGTTTCAACAATCTTCCCCTTTTTGATGATGATCAAAATTTTCTTTTAAAGCGCTGTAATAACCTGTTTTATCTTACACACTAACAAAAACATTAAACATACCAGATAATATTTAAATTTAATAAACATAGGCTTTAAATAAATTTCTCCCCCTATTTTGATTATAATCGAAAATATTGAAAGCTCCCCCTCAATAGATGCATAATAATAAAATAACTCCCCCTCAAACAAAGCAAGGAAAATTCCAATTTTATTTCATAAAGTAAAGACATTACAATCAAAGATATATGCGGAAGAGATCAAAACTCTTCACTGGCATCACTTTAAACTGAGCGTCAAACCTATCCTCTAGATTACAGACCCTATCATCTACGTCAGAGATACGACGAATGATTTTCTCATGTCGTACTTCAGAAAGGGTGAAAAATTCCTGCATTTTCTTATTCATATCAAACAACATCTCTTCCATAGATTGTCGAGATGCAAGAGGGGCAGAAGAAGATGTTCTAGCATGATGAACATGTTTAGAGGGAAACTCAGCAGCAGGAGGCATCTCTTCGTCAGAATCTTCAGCATTGTCATCCATGTTTGGAACGTCGTCTTTGTGAACATAAATGTTGTTGACTCGCACCATTTGAAGTTGAGTCAGCGTATTATCAAGAATTCGATTTAAGTTTGTGGTTCTTACCTTTTGTTCCCCTTCAACATTCACTCCTTTATACTCTAAAATGCGAGAGATAAGAAGAGCATAGAGAATTTTAAAAGTAAGATGACGTTTCGCCTTCAGCATGGTCATTGTGACAAGGCTGCCCCAATCGACTGGTTCATTATTCATGATTGCATAAATAATACGAAGATCTATGGATGGGCATTGGGCATGATTGGTTGCCCGGGGACATAAGATCCAGACAAGTAGATGCAGAAGCAGACATTCCTCGTTCTTTAATGGGCCAGCTAGAAGAAGATGCCCAATCTCCATGGAGGGGTTTCGAAGAAAAGACCGATAAGCCATAATCCTGTCAAAATCGTCTAACTCCGCAAAAATATTAATTGCATAATCTCTTACAGGAAAATGTGCAACGTTTTCCCATATGTCATCATCAAGGATGATAATTACACCCTTGACACGAGAAGTTGCTACTTGATCCCTAAATTTGAAACGAGAATAAAATACCCTAACTAAATCAGGGTAGTGTACGTACCTTGCATTTGGATAAAAGGGAGAACACCTTAAATTTCAAGAAGATT